CTGGCAGGGATGTGGTCGGAGGGTCTGACTTCTCACCACACTGTCCTTTGTTTTTCATTCTCAGTGGATTCAGCGTCAGCACGGCAGGAAGGATGCACATCTTCAAGCCCGTGTCTGTCCAGGCCATGTGGTAAGTGTGGTTTTAGGGACTTTTAACTCCTTAGAAATATTTTCCTAGCTGACAGCACAAATAAAAAACCCCCACCTACTTAGAAGCACATTTAGGTATGTTTATTTTGTGTGTGTGTGGCAAAAAATATGTATCAATAACAAAATTTACCATTTTAAGGACACAATTCAGTGATATTAAGTACATTCACAGTATTGTACACCCATCACCACTATCCATTTCCAGAACTTTTTCATCATTCCAAACAGAAACTCTGTACTTATTAAACAGTAATTCCTTATTGCTCCCTCCCCCAGCCCCTGGTAACCTCTATTCTACTCTCTCCCTATGACTCTGCCTATTCTAGGTCCCTCATATAAGTGGAATCATACAGTATTGGCCCTTGTGTATCTGGCTTCTATCACTTAGCATAATGCTTTCAGACTTCATCCGTGTTTAATGCTTCATTCCTTTGTAAGGCTGAACAATAAATTTATTATACGGATGTACTACTTTTATCCATTCATCTCCTGATGGACATTTGGGTTATTTCTACCTTTTGGCGACTCTGAATAGAGCTGCTGTGAACATTGGTGGACAGAGTATCTGATTGAGTCCCTGCTTTCAGATCTTTTGGAATTCCTAGATCATGTGGTAATTTTGTGTCTAACCTTTTGAGGGACCACCAGACTGTTTTCTGTAGCAGCTGCACCATTTTACATTCCCGCCAGCAATGCAGAGGGGTTCCAGTTTCTCCACATTCTAGTCAACACTTGTTATTCTTTGCTTTTTTTTTCATAATAGCCATCCTTATGGGTAGGAAGTGGTATCTCATGGTTTTGGTTTTCATTTCCCTAATTAATTAGCCTTGAGCATCTTTTCATGTGCTTATTGGCCATTTTGTATATCTTCTTTGAAGAAATGTCTATGCAAGTCCTTTGGCCAGCTCTTAATTGGGTTGTTTGGTCTTTTTGTTGTTGGAGGTACCTTGTTTTTATGTTTCTACCGTCCCTGCTGACAGAATGTCATTTTAGCATAAATTCACTGGTCCCTTGTCCCTGGCACACTGAGGGTCATCAGTTTGCTCCATGGAGGCAACAGCAGTGCTCTGCTAGGCATTGAGCATCTGTGGAGGCATAAAACGGACATAATTCCTGTCCTCCTGGAGTTTAAAGTCTGTTGAGGGAGGTGGCCATAAACCCAGAGCAGAGTCCTATGTTATACTGAGGGGTGGGTGCCGGGCTGTGCGATACCTACTGCAGGGTGCAGGGGCTGGGGCAGGGTAGGGCCTCCCTGGACACCTGCATGGGGGGTGAGGTAGGTGTGGGTGAAGATTGCCTTCAACTTCCAGACCTTCTCTGAACCCGATACGCATTCTAGAGCCTCCTCATCCTTGGAAGGCTGCACAGACCACTCATACAGCAGACTCCACACGGCAGTCTCCCGCAGATAATCTGGAAAAGACTCGGGAGAAAGCCGGTGGCCTCTGATGAGAAGAATTCTGCCCTGTGTTTCAGAATAATTACTCATTTCTCCAGGACAGTGAGAGTGATGCAGGATCCTCCCATGGGCCACGCGCTAACATCGTTGCTTCGTTTTTATGGCTTCTGTTCTTGCAGTCAGTTCAGGATCATTTGGGGGGAAATCACGAACTCATCATTCTCTAGACGTCCCAGATATTCCTTTGTGGCCCTGGATAATTTGTTATCTCTTTCTCTACGAACGAGGAAAAAAACAGGCCCATGGGTTTTTCCAAAACTTCAGAACGAGAATAAAATTTCATAAATATTCAGCTCAAGTTTCTTCCCTCCCCGAGTCTAGAGCTAGGACAGATATGGACCAGTGGGGAAAGTGAAGTGGGTTGCAGTGGTTTTTACGCCGTGGTTGAGCCATTGGTTCTCTGATAACTTCTCCATCCAAGGCCTCGCTCGTCCACCCTTCACTGATACCTGATTCGCCCCATTCACTGAGAAATACTCAGCCCATATTTTTGTAAAAAGAAGTAAGAAAAGGATAAGTAAATTAGCTGTTACCAGTGTATACGTTTTCAGTACTGTTTCTCCCGCCCGACTCTGCCTCCCAGCACTTCCACTGCAGTTAGTTCTTGTGGTTTCCTTACACAACCTAAGCATCTAAGCTGTTATAACATTGATGGGAGGGAGCTAGAAATTAAGTGACTGGGAATGCAGTCACGTATCTCTGCTGCATGTTGAGGATGCTTTCCTTCCAGCTGCTCGGCTGCATTGCGGTTCCCACATTCAAGGTAACCACAGCCTCAGAGGTGAATCTCAGTTCCTGGGAGTTCATTAGCGGACGTAAAGTGACCCAGGAGCCTGCCCGATTGGGAGCGTTAGAAAGTTTTGTCGTTTCCTCGTTGGGGATGGTGACAGGCGCCGTCTCTGCTCTTGGGGTTGGTGCCTGTGTCCCAGAGACGCGCAGTGGTACCTGGCGGCCACGTGCCCCCCTCGTAACCTCAGATGTGAGAGCGGCTCCAGCCCAGCTCCCCTCGTGCCTCCCGGGCCTGACGCTCTTGCCCTCCTCACCCCAGGTCTGCCCTGCAGGTCCTCCACAAGGCCTGCGAGGTGGCGCGCAGGCATAACTACTTTCCCGGGGGCGTGGCGCTGCTCTGGGCCTCCTACTACGAGAGCTGCATTGGCTCCGAGCAGAGCTGCATCAACGAGTGGAACGCCATGCAGGACCTGGAGTCCACGAGGCCCGACTCACCCGCCCTGTTCGCGGACAAGTGAGTGCGAGTGCGGAGCCTCCGTCCCCGCCCCGGTCCCCGACCCCGAGCCTGCACGGCGTCACAGCCCCATCGTCTCCCAGAACCAGCATCCCACGCAGGGGCTCCTGGCCTGCAGCCCATGGGTGTCTTTGGCTGGGGAAGGGTCTGACCACCGCCCCCACACACACACCGCCTTTTAAAATGATAGACAAATTCAGGTGTGAATGCATTTCTGGGGAGCAGCTCCATAACGTTCATCAGCTTCTCTGTACCGGTGCCCTGGTCCCTCCTCCTCAGGTCCAAAGTCTTGATTTCCAAAGCCTCTTCCTCTGCTTGTAAGAGTGTGATGAATGTGACATCCGGTTCCTTGGGTCCCAAAACACAACTGCACGAAGGCAGGCCGAGGGCGGCCGGCTCTGAGGCGGCCCAGGGTTAGAACCAGGCTGATGCGTAGAAGTTGCAGGGAAACACATAGATTTTGGTTCCGTGTAAGCGTGTAAGGAGGTAACGGGAGCCGGATGCAGCTGGGGCCATGGGCTGCCTGAAGACACAGTGATGTCCTCAGCAGAGTCTAGGGGGTCTGGGCCATGGGGATGTCGCATGGTGGTTCCAGCATCCGGCCCTGAGAGGCTGAGGCTCTCCAGACCCGCAGGACGAGTCCGCTTCCCAGCCACTGTTTGCCCCCTTGGTCTGCCGTCCCCTCTGGTGGCCCCTGGGCGACTTCCCTGTCCCTCTCCCCTTCTCGCTGAGAACGTGCCCAAGACGTGTTCCGTGTAGCCCGGGAGCAGCTGGGGTTTCTGTGGACGCCGACCGCAGGCTTCCCGTGGCTTCATGTGGCTTCCCATGGCTCTGCGCTTTCCTGAATGTGATTTCTCTCCAGGCCAACTGAAGGGGAGAGGACTGAGCGTCTCATCAAAGCCAAACTCCGGAGCATCATGATGAGTCAGGACCTGGAGAATGTGACGTCCAAGGAAGTAAGAGCGCTTCCCTGCTGGGTGGGCCGGAGGTCATGGGCATCCCTGTGTCCTGTTGCCCTAGCGCAGCCTAAGTCGGGGAGATCTAAGAGGTTGAAGTTGCCTTTTTAAAAAGCCATATACAGTCTGTTTATTAATTAGTGCTTGTAAAAAAATCCTATTGTGATGCCTTCCAGAGCAAGATGAAACTGCCTTTTAATGTTTTTCTCGATTACTTTTTTCTGTTGCCCTTTGTCCAAGGAATGCAGTGAATTGTAGTAACAGCTTAAACTAAGTAGATCTAAGAGGTTGAAATTGCCATTTAAAAAAGTCATGGGGCTTCCCTGGGGGCGCAGTGGTTGGGAGTCTGCCTGCCGATGCAGGGGACTCGGGTTCGTGCCCCAGTCTGGGAGGATCCCACGTGCCGCGGAGCGGCTGGGCCCGTGAGCCGTGGCCGCTGGGCCTGCGCGTCCGGAGCCTGTGCTCTGCAACGCGAGAGGCCACAACAGTGAGAGGCCCGCGTACCGCAAAAACAAAAAACCAAAACAAACACACAGAAAAGTCATGTGCAGTCTTTTTATGAATTAATACATAATAAACCCTATCGTGATACCTTCCAAAGCAAGATGAAATTGATTTTACATTTTCACGGTGATAGATTTGATAACTGGAAAAGCGTAAGTTTTTTCAACTCAGTAGAAAAGATCCCAAGGGAATCAAATTCCTTCTTTCAAATAATAAACGTCCCCTAGTCAGATTCACATTGAGGCCGTGTAGCCTGCATTCCCACCACCCACGCGTGTGTGCAGCGTGTCTAAGTGCATATGTGCTTACTCTGAAAAAAGCCCAAAAAACACTTTTGAAAACAGTCATAGTTCATGTTGTGACTTTATTACTTCTTTGGAGAAACTGTTTTTTGTTTTTTGTTTTTTTGTTTTTAAACAAACCCCCTTTCCTAATATTTTCCACTCCACAGATCCGTAATGAATTAGAGAAACAGATGAACTGTAACTTGAAAGAATTCAAGGAATTCATAGACAACGAGATGCTCCTTATCTTGGGACAGATGGACAAGCCCTCCCTCATCTTCGACCATCTTTATCTCGTAAGAGGCACAGCGCACGGCAGGGTCTGGTTTGGGAAACGTAAATCAGACCTTGATTTGTTTGGAGTTTGCAGCAAGTCATAGAGGGGGAGAAACTTGAGTTCCTGGAGCCTCCATCCTGACTTTTACGGGAACTCCCCTCTTGACCCCTTTTCTCTGGCCTGCAGCCTACGGGTTTGCAGAGCCAAATGTTTGCGCCGCAGCTCAGCTGAGCTGCGGGGAGTTGTTTGAAAGCTCTCTGGCATAGTCAGCTGGCAACCGTTTTCAGATGCACACCACCCTCCACCTTCATCTGTCACTAACAGAAACCCCCTCCAGATGGTCTGCGAACTAAAAAAAACCCAGTTACTAAAGGGAACACCCGCGCCTAACCCCAGAATTATGCCTCCTCGTCCGGAGACATGAGAAACAGCAGAGGAGACAGACCAAACGCCTAAGACGCAGCATC